GGGAGTTAGGGGGTTATCTTTATGACCAGCATCTCCATTTGTTTGCTGAGATGCTGTATCCCCACTTAGCACGGGTTGGCCTTGACAGTAGGCAGGGTTGAAGCAACCTGCTTCCTGAATTATTTAACTTGAGTTGATGGAAGTTTCAACCAGTATACGATTTTTAAAAAACAACAAACAAACAAAGAGCGCAAACCTCAGGGCGTTTATGGTTGGTGAACGGAGAGATGGACACTATCACGTTGTCTCTGTAGTTGAAGTGGGGATGGTTGGTCAACATCTCACATAGACATCTCAGAGCCAATTTCCCTAGATCCTGTGGAAAAAAAACCAACAACCCTAGTCTAAAGTTCTATTAGACAAGTATCTTCCCCAATAACACTCATTGTTATAGTTTTAGCTTTAGTAGAGGTTTTACGGTTCTCGAGCTGTTACAAGAGAGAAACAAATATAAAAAAAGAAGAAGGGGAGAAAAGGACGATAGATGTTTGATAGGAAAGAAGAAGCAAACCACATCAGAGCACCCGTCAACCATCCACTGGTGTTTTTCTCTGACACGTTTTGTAAAGAGGAAAAATAGTCTATGAAGTCCATACAAAGAAAACATTTTTTTTTAAAATTCTTGCTTCTTTTCTGGTGCCAGGAAGCGTGCGCACCACGGGCCCCACCATAATGCCTACACGAGGGGCAAAACACCAGTCTTGATATAGTCAAGTGTGCCAAGCACTACCCTCCCCCACCACCATTCCCTTCCCCTTCATTGACTTATATTAAGTCAAATGATGCGCTTTATAGTCGCTTTATAGTGAACCGAGAATACACCAGAACACACTGTCCAGGATATTATAACATAAATCTACGGAATTGATTAACAATCAAACAAAAAAGAACACAAAAAAAAATGCACAACGTTAAAGAAACTTCCCCATGTTGGTGACACATGGTACATAAGTATACTCACAAAAGCTGCTGGTTTTGAAAGTTTCAAGTTTGTTATGCCATGCTTCGTCAAAAATGTCTTTTCTGCTATGGGTTTTCCTGAAATGCAAAGAAAAAAGTATATTCAAAATGTATAGAAAAAAACTACTATAGGAAAAGGAAAATACTAAGCTCAATAGAATTGTCAGCCAAAGAAAACATTTGAGACACAAAAAAACAACAACTTTAGAGGTCAATAAGAAATAAAGAAATAATTGTGACAAAAGAAACTAAACCAATAAAAAGAAAAACATAGCACTGGCAAGCTATTCAACAGTTCTAGGCCCAGACAGCAAATCAGTCCAAGCAAAAAGATTCATAAGATCGTTAATGACTGAGAGAATACAAGAATTTTTATTCAAAATGTATAAAAACAAGAGAGAAGAAGAAAATAAACAGAAGACTCAATGGAATGAATTCATTATAAGAAAAAAATGAACATACGTTTTGCCATTAGTTCCAAGAACTCGAGATAAATCTTGTAGTTGAGCAGAAAGGATGCTTCATAATCCCATAGAGTTTTCGTTTCTTTCTTGACCTGAAGGAAGATACAATAAGTCAACAGTTCCACTTTTGCAAACATACTGTGACATGAAATTAGCAGAAAAAAAAACAACAATCCACAATCAGTCTTCTTCTACAGACTTCAACAAAAGTTAGGGACCACTTGCAAACACTCTGAGAGGTCTTCTTGGGTCGACCTGGGCGTTTTTGGACTGATCCAGTGGCATGATGGTGCTGCCTCAGGTGGACAATGACAGAGTATGAGAGTATGACACTGCAAGCTTTCTGGCAACTTCTCGGGCTCCAACTCCATCCTCCAGCCATGCCATAGCTCTGGCACGGTCAAAGTCTCTCAGCTTTCGTCTTGGTGGTATGTTCATGCGATACCAGATTTTGCACAAACAGTGGCTTATATTGCCACCAAAGTGAGCACAGTTCAAGACCGTACGTACGTTTATGGCGTTCACCAGATATTTTAACTGAGGAAAGTGCTTCAGAGCAAAAATGTTGAAACATTCCTAGCTGTCTTTTTTTTGGTTGATATTTTAAAAAATTAGGACTGTCTGTCAAAGTGGTCCTTAACTTTTGTTGAAGTCCGTACTTTTAAATCAAATTACATTTGAAGATAAATATCTTACTTATACACACTCAAAAGCTACTGGCTAACAACATCAACATACAGAAGATTTTTTTTTCTGCATACAAAGAAACCAAAACTGTTAGCAAAAGTTTACCCTCTGTGTCCGTTCCTTCTCTGTGGGTATACGTAGTCTGTAGCCAGGAACAATGTCCTTGAAGACCTCCATGATTGACACCATGGCGTACTTCCTCACACTCAGAGCTATCCCGGGGTCTTGTGACCCCAGCAGCAGACGCAGCTCCTTCAGCTTAGCCATCTGAAAAAACAGACAAGTCAGTAAGTGAGCTATGGTTGGGTCCCAAACAACAGGTGCTCTAACCAATGATAACAATACTTACTTTACTACTTTTACTTTTTCATCCTCTGTTGCCATTAACCGTCGAGGGGAGATGCAGTTTTCTATGGTAGGCCAGCTCCGCAGCTCTTTCAGTTGTGATGTTATGTTTTCTTAGGGTTTCCTTGATACCCTCGATCCACCTTTTGCGTGGCCTTCCTCTTCTTTTACAGCCTGAGTGCTTGGTGTTGTAGGCTCTCAAGGTCGGCTGGTCAGGTGACATGCATAACAGGTGGCCAAACCATTTTATCCTCTGTCTTTCTATGTAACGCAGGCATGACTCAGTGCCGATAGCTGCTCTTACTTCTTCATTTCTCTGCCTGTCTTGTCTTGTGATGTTAAGTGTTTTGCGGTGACATTTCATTTCGCATGTGGTGATTTTGCTTTCATGGGTTTTGCTTAAGGTCCAGGTCTGGCACTGATAACATAATGTTGGTATGAATATTGAGGTGATAAGCTGTCTCTTTGTGTCCATGGAGATGTTTGGATGAGATAGAAGGGGTGCGAGCTGGTAGGTGACAGCGTCGGCTTTTTGAGTTCGCATTTCTATTTCTCTGTCTATGGACCCGTTTTCATAAAAAGTGCTGCCAAGATATTTAAACTCTTTCACCTGTTTCCGTTGTTTACTATTGACATGGATGTTCAGGGGACTATGGTTTCGGCTCACTTTCATAACTTCTATTTTTGATGTGCTTATCTTCATGTTGAATTTCTCACAGGTGTTGTTGAGTTCGGTAGTGTAATTTTGGAGGCTTTGTTAGTCATGATGAATTAGACATTGGTTGTCTGCGAACAGAAATTCATTTAGGCTTTCTGGGCTTTGATTTGCTTCTTGTGTTATTGTGTCCATATATATTATAAACAGGAGGGCAGATAGAAGGGGAGATAACAATGACGCCAAAAAATATTACAATATTACTACTTCACGGCTGTTCCACTCAGGATCTCTTAGTTGCCGGTCGACCTGACCTCCGAGACGAGGTCACGCCCCGGTTACGCTACCTGCGGGCACTCGGCCTCGCGGTCAGCGGCTCCCCCGCGATGTTATGTTTTGTACACATAAAACAACACCAGTTCTTATGAAAGCCGAGAAAGTCAATGAAACAACAACCAAATGATCACATGAAGACGAAGGTGTAGTTTACGACAGTATTATTTTTATCACGGAGAAGTAAAAGAAAGTGTTGTTTAAAAGAGGGGGAAAGTGGCTTTCATCATAGATCGGTTATTACAAACAAAAATGTTTTTAAAAAAATAATTAAAAATAAATGGACCGACAGATTGTTACAGTCTTCATTTTCAGCTCACAGTCAGACTTTGAACTTTCAAACACACTTACGTTTATGAGGTAGGACCAAAAAGTCTTGTTGCTATTGTTGATTAATGCACACAGTCTTGTCAGTGAGTGGGAAAACAGTTGAGTCCAGCCAACGCACGAGTACTTTTCACATGAGAATGAAGACCGTTCTTTACACCTTCACAGCTGAATTGATGTTACTATAGTCAATATTTTGATAAACATACTACTATAAAACTGTTTAGGAACTAATGTTTTATCCGTGAATGGTCTGAATCGTCTAAATCGTCTTGTAGTCCTGTTTACTTTTTCCTGCGTTTTTCCGCCGGCTCAGGGAGTGCGGCCTTCAAATCTGAAGATGTCTGTAGTCGGTGTGCTTCCAACACAGCTTTCAGTTGTTTTTGTTTGCTTTTTATGCCGACTGTTCTCTTTTCCACTCTGGCGATTGTGGCATGGAGCATTTCCCCCCCTTGTTCGCCCAGCATGCCAAGGCCAAAGCCCCAGGCTTTCATAAATGGCAGGCAATGGCGCTCTAGCATGTGTATTTTTGGTGTCACTGTGTGAGGAAATAACTTGCGGAATAATTTTAGATATGAATCGATGTCTGCGCTAATGGAAATGTGTTCTGACGGGTGTACAATATTTGTGTGAGAGATGGCGAGAGATGCTAAGTCAGATGATATTCTGTGTGTGACTATCCTCTGAAACACTAATGGCTGTCCTTTTGTTTTGAACCTCAACTGTCCTTTCGTCTGAGATGTGTTAAGCTTTCGTCTGATCAGATGTGTAGCAACTTTTTCTTCTAACGGTGTGAGTGGCTCTGTGTCAGATTTCAAAAGTGTTGACTCTATTGTCGTTTCATGTTTGACTAATGGGGAGCTGGTACTGTCTGTGAACTGTTTCGTCTTCGTTTTAGGTGTGGATGTCAAAATATGAGTTTCTGGTGAAATGTAAAATGAGTCTTCGTCTGTATGTGTAAATGTGCTGTCAATGGATTGAGTGGTAAAGGGCTGAGCACCATCGCCTGTACTTACAGTGGAAACATCTGGGGTGGGGGTATCCGTTATGCTTGCAGACTCCACTGTCATACGAGCGGTGGGCGGAGAACGCAACTCGTGTCCTTCCGTAAGCAAAGGAATGCGCTCTTTAATGCACCCTTTGCTAAGTTTAACATAGCGAGCACACACAGAGCACTCGTTAATGCTTATGCTTGCGTCGTAAGCGGACCAAACATAGGCACTGTCTTCTACACATTTCTGTGCGGCCTTCAAAGCCGCATTTGTAATTTGCTTCCGTAGTGTGTATATTCGCGAGCCACATTTCCTGCACAGAGTGTTGGAATGCTTGTCGGCTGTGTCGTTGTCAATGTTCAGTCTATAATATTGCAATAAGTCAAACTTAAAGTTTTTACACAAAAATCGACGCTGCTGAGAAACTTTAGTTTTTAAACTTCTTTCACCACAAGTACGACACAACTTGTTTAAATTCTCAAAGTGGATGTTATAAGAGTGTTCCATCTTTGATGTTAAAAGGCTCAATAATTATAAACACACAAGAAAGTCAGACGGCAAGTTCCCGCTTCACAGAGTTTTTCTTTGCACTGAGCGTTGCACTAGACTAGTCACATAAAGTGCGCTAGTTCATGGAAATTTAGCTCCTACTCTGAGATTTTTTCAGCACAATGGAGAGAATAGATTTATAAAAAGAAATATGAAGGTTAAAACAAAAATTGTCGGCTCGAATTATCAAAATTCTCTTTTAAATCCAAAAACTTCAATAACACAGAGCTGTACAACAGTGGTAGTATATAGGTATCCCAAGGGAGTATAAAACGAGATAGAAACTGGTTTCAAACTGCGGGTTATAGAGGAGATGCTGAGCTTTTATTTAGTATACAACACTCCTAGGTTTACGGGATGGAGAAAGGGAGTACTATGTTGTAAATTCCAGTTAATTTCTGGAAATTGTACCCTTACCGCGCGGAGCGGTCAGATCTAGGGATAGGCCGGTGGAAGTGGCGTAACGCGTCGAGATTTATTACCTTCCGCGAGGGGTCACAGGGGTCAGAAGGGTCAGACGGGCTACAACTAAGTGCGCCGCTCGGAGAGTGAAACTGAACAGCCGTGACTTATCATCAATATCATCATTATAAAGTCTTAAAAGTGCTCACTCTGAAACAGGCAGCAGTGACCATGGTCCACCATTCATTTCTTTGCTTGGATGCTCTAAAAAGAAGCTATATTATCCTGGTCTTTCCCTGTCACGCATTTGTTAACATTTTCCATGTAAGTTGCTCCGGGTCGAACCCTGCCTCATTTGCTTTCTAATTTTCTAGCGAGGGCAAAGCGTTCACTCAAAAGACAAACTGAACAAACGCTGATAAGAAAATTCTCAGACAAACTGACGTCACTCAAAGACAAAGTGGACAAACATCGTTTTAAAAATTCACAACATCACACTTATCTGAGACTTACATTATTTTGGGGGTCCTCCAACACATTCTGAGACAAGGAAGCAATCTTCTGTTTCTTCTCTGCCAGTTTACTCTGACAGTAGGCAAACTGCTGGGCACTGTTCAGAGACGCCAGATACGCTCTTTCATCAACTTCCTCCTCTGCTTTGTCCTCTGTACCGTTTTCTTCTCCTTGAGCTCCCCCATCTCCAGGCTGGTCAGTGGCTTTCTCGGCATCTTGGAAAGGTAAAAAAAAAATTTAATGTAGGTTTTTTTAGGAAGAGATTTGGGAAGGGGGGAGGGGTAAAAATCATACAATATTATTTCTATGTTGCCCCCGTTCTATTCAAAGTTTACATACAAAATGTCCATACAAACTATCATAGACAAATATTTTTTGCACTGTTCAATAACTTGGTCAGCTCCGTACAATTGATATCATGCTCTCGGATCACCCTAACACAGGTGTTAGAAAGATTCTCCAGCAGATTCACTAACAAATTCCAAGCATCACCCACATTAAGTTATGTTATGCCTGAGACAGATCACGCCCGGGTTGTTTTTAGAGCAGCATTAATTCCAGACGAATAAGATTAGGAAAGAATTGCTTACTTCTAAGAGAGCATTGAAAAGATGAATGACTGGGAAGACCAGCATTAAAAATACAGGGTTTTTTTAAAGCAACTGAGCAGAAAAATGGGAGCAAAACATGACTACCGAAGTCCTTTTCAGACCTAGACCCCCCCCCCCGAAGAAGACTTAAAATATCAAATATAAATAATGCAAGAAAGAGAGCTCTGCATTAAGTCAACATGGCTTACCACCGTTGATGGGTTCATCCTTTTCTTTCTCCATCATTCTTTTGATAACTTTCCCCTTTGAAATGATTGGAAGCATCATTTTCATATTTTGTTCGTTCTTGTCCTCAAGGAAAGTTCTCGGCTGGCGTTCGTAATCTTCCTCTTCGTCGTCACTGGTCCTCTTTCTCTTTTTACCCTTCGGCTCATGTGACTCTCTAGTCGTGACAAACATCAAAGAAGGGAGTTAAGAGTAAGGGAATGTAATAATTTAGCCTACGCATGCTGTAGTGGATTACTGAATCTATAAAAGGACTACTGTGGTGATGCTTTAAAGAGCTCATAATGATGGATGAAATTTGGAAATTCATGGGAGAATGGTGCAAGTGAATGCAAACAATCTTTGTCTGAGATGAGCAAACAAAATCAATTCCTTCGCTTTGTCACTATCACTATGACAAGCCAGCTGATTGGCTCAACATCTTCCTCATCACTATGACGAAATGTATCGGCTCAGCTATACGCCTCTATAAATTAAATACTAGAGCTATTCCAGTCCAGACTTTCTAAAATAGTATCCATGCTTCGGTTTTTTAAAATATTCATTCTTTTTTCAATTTCTTTTCTTTCGATCTAATGTTATATTTTGCTCTAAACAAATTGGTAAATCAGTGAAGAATAACTAAATGTTTTTTGTACAATACACAAGTGTCAGCCAGTGGAAGAAATTACATCTAGGAGGGTAGAATATTATGTATTGAAAGAGTTAAGTACAGATGCACAAATGCAAACAGTTCAACAATTGCAATTTAAAAGCACTTCAGCACTAATCAAATGAAATAGCAGTATATATATATATAATGTATATTGTTTAAAACACACATCGATGGCTGGTTGCAAGACTCTAGCAAATGCTAAATTACAGTAAATGACAAAGTGTAGTCTTGCATCAACCATCGACATGAGGGAGGTAAAACTTTTCACTAACATATTATCAGTCAATATTTTATGGACTTCTTCAAAATATAATAGCAGCCCATGCAAGGCTCAATGAAAGTGAGAGAAATATCTTGTTTCTAACTGTATTTCATGAGGGTGCCACCCTTCTCCATGGACCAAGTCAAACAAAACCCTGTGTGAAAAACTTTAAATAACAAAGTCATTGTTGGCAGAAGAGGGGGAAATGGGGGGGAAATACAAATCAGATCAGCAATGAGCTCAATACTAATTTGTAGATCAAGTTTAGTAAATAAAACTGGTCTTATAATATATACAATAACGGAGTCTGTTGAAACTGAAATCTGCGGGACCAACAGATCAGAGAGGGTTTTTTTTTCCGGTTTAGAAGAAAAATTGATCAATTTGAAAAAAATAAAAAATTGGTGAATATATTTTTATACGGTTTACTGATTGTTTTCAGATAAACCATGTTTGGTTTGAGTGGAGTCTAGTGTGTGTGGCCCATTAAAAACAGTACAAAAGAACAAACGTTCCCCAGACCTATTGGAAAAATCAAAGTTCTCAGTAACAGAACAGTCAGCTTAACTTCAACCAACTTACTTTGCATTAAGATCCATAGAAGCAAAACCTCTGGCATTCTGCAAATGACGGAAATACTCCACCTCCTCAGGGGCGCTCTCTTCACCCCCAGAATCACTCTCCTCTTCCTCATTGGAATTTACTGCTGAGAGCTGTGCTTGACGCTCACTCTCCTTGTTTGCTTCCTCCTGCCGAGCCTTCCATTTCTTTTTCTTTTTATCTCCTTTGTTAAGCTTGCCCTGTTTTGCAAGGCGGCTGGTCTTTTTGTTGGCAAGTTTCTGCAAACTAGCTTTGTGAACACTTGCCTTAGTCTTGCCTTTTTTGGGGCCACTTGGTTTTGCCTTGCTTATAATCTTTTTCTGAAAACAAAAATAACAAGGAAAAGTTTATTGACAAGTGTATTTCAAAGCATTTTATATGACAAAAATTATTGCCATTAGAACAAGGAACAGTGCATCCATGTAAAAGAAATATCATGTCTATCTACGTTTGTGGCTTCTTATAAATTAGCATCTCAATCTCAAGCAACATATCTGAATTATTACACATACAAATCAGTCTAGACAATAGCCAACATTTTTTGTGGGTTAATAATAACAATTAAATCTGTCTAGTTTTCCCCATTTCAAATATAAGACATGCATAAAAGAAGTCTTGTTAAGCATCAATATGAAATCATCATCATCATCCAGTGCCAGATCTGCGACAGACATCAGCGATCATGGTTCTCCATTCATTCCTTTGCTCGGATGCTCTCAAAAAAGCCATGTTTCCATGATCTTTCCCTGTTACCCATTTGTTTAGGCTCCCCAAGTATGTTGTTCTGGGCCTTCTCCTGCCTCGCTTGCCCTCAATTTTGCCAGTGAGAGCTAGATGTTCAAGACCCTTATATCTATTTTTATGTGTCCCAAAAACTGCATTTCAATTTGTCGTTTTCTGATAGTTTTCAACAATATCAAATATGTTCCACAAATTGTAAATTTGCATGAGACTAAAAGTTTTGCCTAAAAGGACGGAAACAGACAGCATGAAAGTCAAAAGTAGTGTATTTCCGCTCATCAAAAAGATTTTAAAAAACATTTCCATGTTGCATGTTCTACACCCTTACCATCAACTGGCACTCTTCACTACACAAATACAACTACACAGGACTACAGACTAAAAACCGCTTAGACGGGATAATCCAGTTTTGGATCATAAAATTTCTAAAAAGGATAATTATCTTGGTGAAAATAATTCTTCGAAAGACGCCCAATGTCTGGGTAGCCAACAAACTTAATAGATCTACACGGTATACTTACTATATAAGTTAAACTGACTATTTAAAATATTCGGAGAATGATAGAGATGTGAAACACATAAAGCTATACAGCGATCACCTAGCACACCCCTAGCACACCTCTGTGATTGGCCCAAATATAGATGACATATTTCCGCCATCTTTTTTTGTCGTCTCCTGGGGTTTCCCCCAAGACTCATAGTTTTCCCTCGCCAGTAACTGTTTTTGTTTTTTTTCATGTATTAATTTGTGCTATAAACAATCTTAGCAATTCTCGATCCATAAATTTACCTTCTCCTCAGTTGTATGCACACACACACACGTACACAAGCGCACGTGCACAAACACATACGAACAAACAGCCTAAGCAGTCGCGATGAAACCTAGTGACGTAGTCCATGGCGCAAGCCCGCCAAGGTGAAATCTAGTCAACTGGTGAGGGAAGCCCCGGAAGACGACAAAAATAGATGGCCGAAATACATCATCTAGAGTCTAGATCTATATTATTTGGGTCAATCACAGAGGTGTGCTAGGTGTTCGCAGAAGCTTCATGTATGAAATATGTGAAATTGAGAGTCAGAGATCACTATACTAGAAGGTAGCGTCAATTGCCACCGAGTGAAGCGGTGTCAAGTCTGAAAACAACACTATCTTTTAAGCATTCAACATAATGTGTGTCTAATGAGCCAATTTGTTCTCAACTAATTTCATTGGACGAGCATCTAGTCTAGAGCTACAGTACCAGCTTGGCGTGTTTTCAATGAGACTGTAGGCCTAGATCTAGGCTAGCCTTAGCCTACACTTCGGTGTAGAACCAACACAGGCAATTCTAGAAGTAGAAGGTCACAAACGCACCCAAACTCAAGCAGAAATTCACGTTATATCAGGGAACATAAATCGGGGGACGGGGGTCAGGAAAACACACACACACACACACTCGGACAGAGAGGAGAACGCACAACACCGAGCACTCGAGCACAATTAAGCTAGATCTAGATCTAGATCTAGATCTACCCACCGACGCAAAAGAGCTGCAATTTACTCGGTGGCAATTGACAAAAAGTCAATTTTTGTCAATTGCCGCCACGTCACTCGGTGGCAATTGACACTAGATCTACCCAAGATCTAATGTCAACTGTCAACGTCGTCAACGTCTTCCACTTCCAGTTCCAACTTCAACTTCAACCACCACCTCAACCTGCCAACGCACTTTGTCTTTGAAAAATAAATGGTTTGAATTTCTTGTTGTGTAACAAAGATCATATAAGAGCATGAACATAGTAAAGCATATTAAAACTACCATCTTGCGTAGAAGTCAAGAAGTGTCTTGTAACGTCAAGAAAAATATCAGATCAGTTCGGTATTGGCGACAACACTAACACACACTGTTTTGCCATGGAGGCGGCCATGCGTGTAAGGGAGATAATAATGAAAAAGAAAATATATGTCCATACCTTTAATGTCTTTCAATGTTTGTAGTCCTTAAAAAATAAGGTACAATTAGAGACTTTCGCCAAATGGCAACAAGTAAACGTATTTTTTCATTTACACCAACACACATTTGAAGAGGAACAGAGAAGGAAATATGAAACTACAAAGAGTCTGTCGAGTTCTTTTTCTGTTGATCCGTCTTCAAAATAAAGATCTAGATCTAGATCTAGAATCTAGAATCTAGAATCTAGATCTAGTCTGAGCAGTTGGAGTTGGAGTGAGTTACCATCCGCGAACGTTTGGGAATAATATGCCCCATGACTGCAGGCTGGCTATTTTCCTTCTACTTCAAGCGCCAGTATCTGTTTGAAACAGATGTCGGCCAGCATACAACACCACTCATTTTTTTACCCAAATGCCCTGACCCCCCCACCTCACCAAACAAACAAACAAACAAAAAAAACAGCAACAGCAACAAACAAAACAAAAATAAAAACCAACCCATCACCCATCTGTTCGAGTTCTGTCAGTCATTACTCCTCGGTCTACCTCTGTCTCCTTTTACTTCTATATATTTGTTTGTTTGTTGATTTGTTTGTTTGTTTTGTTTTTCCTTTTGTTTTTCAATGAGATCATGACATATATCGTATCATATAATTACGGATCGAAAACGCAAAACGAGGGACATTATGACTTCTCACATCACCTGATCATATAGGCCTGTGGGGACTAGATCTATATCGGTCTCATCCACAGAATTCTACACTTAGAAGTGTAGAATTCTGTGGTCTCATCTTTCTTTGCTTCATTTTTTATTAAGGTTGCGTCAGAACACAGCTGTTTTTTTGTGTGTGCATACTTTAAGCATATATAGAACAAACAAGCAAACAAACAAACAAACATACAAACAAACAACAATTTATATTTGTAGATGTGAGCAGACTGTAGGTTTTTCTCTTAGCTTCAGTATTTCTAAATCGTAACGTCTAATAATGACTTGCTACCCCATGTGTCCATCTATGCAATTCACTAAAACTAAAATATACCAGACTGAGAGTCTGCCCCTCATGAAAAATCAATTGATTTGTGCAAGACAACAGACCAGGATTGCCATACCGCTCTGATCTCGGGTGGTCGAGGAAATGACTTTGGACCTTAATGTTGTTATTGTGTGGGTTGGCGAGACAATCCATGTAAATAAATTGAATAGTGTTGAAAGACCAAACGAACCAGAGAGAGAGAGAGAGAGAGAGAGAGAGAGAGAGAGAGAGAGAGAGAGAGAGAGAGAGG